AGTTGTCGTTTGTTTCCGTGTTTCTCTTGCTTTTTGTGGATTTTGCTTGTTTTTGCATGTTTCTCTTGATTATTTGCTTATTTTCCATTTCTCTTGTTTTGCCTTTCGTGCCCGTGTAGATATTATTGTTTTTAGTTTCGCTTTTTGTTATTCTCTCTCTTGCCTCGTGTGCCTTGGGTTGTTTTTCTTGTTCTTGTGCGAGGTATTACGCTTGAGGAGCTCCGATGGACCCGTACAGCTATTCTTATGCCGGTAGCTCATCTCGTGGATACCCCGACAACTATCATGGGGAGATATACTCGTATGGAGGGCCGCCTTATCCGTACCCGAACCACTCTTTACCGACATCTCATGGCGATTTTGGCTATTATTCTCCAGGTCACGACGAGACGCCTCACTATTATCCACCGCCTCCCGATTTTTATGATGCGACATCTCCACCCGAGCCGACTTGGGAATATTTTCGAGTCAATCTAGCCGAGATTATGGAGCACTTAGAGGAGTGCAATCGATCCCATCGCGCTTCAATGGCTCCCATATCCGAAAATGAAGAAATAGAGTCCCATGTTCCATCTTCTCCATCATTTGAGCACCTATCGGTTGGCCAACCTTGCACACCAAGGACAGAAGCTTCAATTCCATCAACGGTTGTGCCTTCCGAATGTCACCGAGAGGTTTTGACGAGCACTCAAGAGGCACTTGCGAGCCTCATGTCGATCATTGAGGAGTTTCATAGTTGGAAGTGCATTCCCATTCAATCTGTTCTTCAAGTTACACTCACGAAGTTCGACTCTACCGTGGTCTCTTTCCTTGATTTGGACGCATCTCACATTCCGCTCGGTAGATATTGTTCTCTATCGGCGAGGGTTATTCGAGAGAGTATCCGGTTAGAAGGCGAGTTTCGAGCTATGGTGGATAGGTTTGCCTCCTTGAAACAGGTGGGCCTCACTCTCGTTTATGATGGAAGACAATCTCTCGACACGAGTGAGGACATCGACAATTTGATTGTCAAAGAAATTCCCCCTTTTGACGACTCGGACTTGCAATCTACAAAAGGTACGTTAAATTTCTCTTTCGTTTATGATGCTATGAGCTTTGATTCGATTATTGAGGATGAGAGCATGGATTCGGATGTTGATATGGTGTACGGGATGGGAGAGAATTCATTTGAGGATTCGATTGTGCCGAACGATGTTGATAGTGCTCGAGAGGATGATATTGAGGAGGAGAATGTGGTAGTTGATGATTTTGTGGACGTTGTTGAGGAGGATTCCGAGCTATTATGTGATGTCGTTGACCCGAGGTGTGTGTTGATTGATGAGCCGACTTGTGATGTTGAGTATGATGTGGTTCCCATGTCCTTTGGGGCGTCGTTTCGTATTATTGAGAATCGTGATCATATGGAGGAGTTTAGTGCGCCTATGCCCGTGCTCTCGATGCTTGAGCTTGAGGAGTACACGTTCGAGATAGTGCAAACGATGCCCGGGATTGATTCGACGTGCTCCACGGATATTCTTATATTTTCGGAGGTCGAGTATGGGGCCCCGGTTCGTAAGGATTCATTTCTCCTCTTGTTGGTTGTCGAAATCCGTGCTCGGTTTCACAAGAACGCGGCCACGAGAGCTTACCTTGCCCGCCTTTGTTCCGTACAACCGTCGGGACTTCTCTTGGAAAATACAAAGGCGTGGCATGATCGACACTTTTTCCTAGATCCCGGTTGATTTCCGTTGGGAACGTCGAGCTCAAGACGCTAAATTGAGCGCTTCGTGGGAGGCAACCCACGGTTTTAGCATTTTCCG